AGACAGTCTGGGGAATATAATCAATAATGTTGTAAATATTTTTTAGGGGGCCAGATGGACTCATGTCTTGTTAGGGAGACCACTTCATAGTCACTGTAGAGGCCTGACCACCGCACTGTATTTCTGAAACTGATGTTGAATAATAATGTATGTCAACTATAATTATATATACATATAGTCACGGGACGTGGAGTAGAGAGTGGGAATGGAATCAATGGAATTTTAATAGATAAGCATGATATCGGGGGTGGGAGGGCAGTAGATGGGTTGTTACTTTATGAGGAGTGAAAAGGGTAACTATTGCATTGTTCTGTACACCTGAAACTAACAAAATGTAAAAAAAACTATTAGAATAAACAAATTCAGTAAAGTGGCAGAATATAATATTAATATTCAGAAAGATGATGCATTTCTATACACTAATAAACTACTGGAAAGAAAAATTAACAATTCCATTCAGTTCATCAATAGATGAATGGAAAAAGAAGTGATACTATATATACAAAGGACTATTAGTCATAAAAAAGAATGAAATCTTGTCATCTGCAACAACATGGATGGACCTAGAGGGTATTATTATGTTAAGTGAAATTAGGCAGAGAAAGACAAATACCATATGATTTCATTTACATGGGAAACCTAAAAAACAAAATAAACAAACAAACGAAACACAAACTCATAGATACAGAGAACATTTTGATAGTTGCCAGGTGAGAGGCGATCGAGAAATGGATGAAAAAGAGGAAGGGATTAAGAAGTACAAATTGATAGTTACAAAACAGTCATGGGGATGTAAAGTACAGCATAGGGAATCTACTCAAGAATACTGTAATAACTATGTATAGTGTCAGATAGGTACTAGATTTATCAGGGTGATCAGGGTAAGTTACATAAACATCTAATCACTGCGTTGTACACCTATACTCATATAATGTTGTATGTCAACTATAATAGAAAAATATTTTTAAATAAAAAATACAATAAATAAATAAAGTGAAAAATAAAAGGAAGGACAAGATTTCAGACTTGAAACAAAAAAGAAAATAATGTAGATGTGTTGCATTTTTTATTAGATTTCTAGGCATTTTGCTTGAGATACTATATAAATAGCATTGTTTCCTTCATTTACTAATTCTTTGTTGCAACACATAGAAAAATAATGTATATTTAAAATACTGATATTGTAGCCATCAAACTTGCTAAATTCCCTAGTTTATTCTGATAGTTTTTCTATAGATTCTATTAAATGTCCTAAATTCACAATTACATCATCTATAAATGATAGTTTCAATTTTACCTTTTTATTCCTTATGTATTTTATTTTTCTTACCTTACTGCACTAGCTAGTACTTCCAGTACAATGTTCAATAGATATGGTGATATAGGTATCCCTGTCTCATTTTTAGATTACATTGAAAAATCTTTTAATGTTTCACAATTGAATATGATACTTGCTGTAGGCTTTTTTAGATGTCCTTTGTCAGATTAAGAAAATTCCCTTGTATTCCTATTTTGCTAAGAGTAAAAAGTGCTTTAAATTAAGCACTAAATTTTTATCACGAAGGAGTGTTGATTTACACTTCTTTTTAAGAAAATTTTAAATAAGTGCTGCACTAGAGCTCCTTTTCTGGAAAAGTGCCCTCCCAAACTTATACGGGTTCCTGGGTCATGGTAGGCTGAACTTATTCCCGTATTCTCCTTAATAGTGGACAACTGGATCAGAGCTCCACTTCCATGTTCACTGTCTCCATAGCTACAAAGCAACATTTCCACTCTGTTATATAACATGAGATAGCTCCTAGTCATGCTGAACTGCTAGCCCAGGCTGCTCAGGTTATTTCCCATGGTATCAGTTTTGGTTTTTGTCAATGTTGTGATTTTGTGTGATTTCTCCTAACTTTATTTTCCCATATATCTTGATTTGATTGCATGATTTAAGAATGTGATATTTTTCAGGCCGGCTGAGTGGCTCGTTGGTTAAGAGTCGGTTTGGGAGCGCAGGCTCTGAGCAGCAGGGACGCCTTTTAGGATCTCACATGGACCAGTGACACTGTGCCCTCTACAGCTAAGATGGTGAACAACAGCTCAACCTGGAGATGGGCCGCTGTGAGTCGCCGGCGACGGCGTAGGCTGCAGTGGGGCTGCAGTGGGCTGTCGTAAGCCAGCATGAATGGCTGGCAGCCAGTGTGAGCTGCAGTGAGCCGCCGTGAGCAGCCGTCCAATGGCCAGCGACCTATCTGCCTCAGCCAGGAAGAGCACAATGAACACAATACCAGCATGGGCCAGTGAATCAACGTCCTCCACAACTAGACTGAAGAACAAAAGGACAGCAACTTGTCTGTTCCCCTTCCCCGATTCCCCAACGCTGTTTCCTCCCCCAATTCCCCAATAAAATATTTAAGAAAAAAAAGAATGTGATTTTTTCAATAATGTATAAATATAATAGCAGAAAAGTATAATATTCAAGCCAAACTTCACATGAGCATATTTACTGCCTTGTTTTAATTATAACTGATCATGTCCAGCCAATCAGACAGAAACATATAAATGAATGGATTACAATTCAATTCTATTCAAATGCAGCTAAGCATGGGTGGAAGGTTATCTATTTGATTACAGGAAATAAAAAGTAATCATCTGACACAGTATGTAAAAATCATGTTCTGACAGCCAACAATGAATTATTTAATTGTTGCTATGAGAGCCAAAACAGCTCATACCTTTATGATGAACATAGATCAAGAAGGATTTTATAACAGTGTTATAATGCGTTTAATTACGGCTTCAAAATGATTGCTTATAATGTTACTATATATGATAGTATTTTATATAATACTATATAAAATAAATGTATGTAATACTACCCAAAATGGTCACTATTTGGGTACTTTATAGGTCCATACTTACCTTCACATTTTTCCAGAATCTGGACTGTTTCTCCTATTTCTAAGACCAACCCTTGAGGCACAGATCCTCGAAAACTGCATATCACTAGAAAATCAAGGATAAACATATCAATTAGCATTTTTAAATACTGAGACAGGGTCAGTGTCCCTGAAATTAAACATTAAATTTTCTTAAATATATACTCTCCCTTCTTCACTGATTCATCTCTCCAATTTGTAAACCCTTTACAACATAGTTAATATTTTCAAAGATAACATTAAGTAGTTCAGGACACTGATGTATGTCTTAATAAAATTACTATTCTTGGGTGGTGTGTGCATGCTTGACATAGGAAAAAACATGCCTTCTCAGGGAGAAAATGATTCTCACTTCAAAATGATAAATACAAGGTCTAGCATGAAATCAGAGATTATAATATACTGAAAGAACTTTGAAAGTGTGGATAATCAACAGAGTAATGAAAGTCAAAATAACCAGAACCTCAGATGACCCAGATGTTGATAGTAGCATAAGAGAACTTTAAATGACTAATATCAATATATTAAAGAATTGACAAAAGATGAACAAAATAAATGACAGATGAAAAATTTTAATACAGAAGTTAAATCTCTAAGTTAAAAATGGAAATTTATAACTGAAAATTAGAATATTACAAATTTCACATTCATTGGATGGACTTAACAAGAACTGAAGGAAGTATGAGTGAACTCAAAGACAGAACAATAGAAATTATACAAACAAAAATGCAAAAAAACAAAAAAAGAATGAAATAAAAATATATACAACAGACATGTGGGCTAATAGCATCTTCAACCAATGTATAATTGGAGTCCCAGAGGAAAGAAGAGAGAATAAAGCAGAAAAAATATTAGAAGATGGCTATCTTCTAATGGCTAATAATTTTCCAAAGATAATAAAAAGATGCCTATATTAGAAAAAATTAAAATCCCAAACCAATTATCTAAGATCCCACCTTAAAAAGCTAGAAAAGAAACAGTTTAAATCCAAAGAATGTAAATAGAAGGAAATAAAAAGAGCTAAAATCAATTAAATTTTTTAAAAGATCAAACAATAGGAAAAAAAATCAATAAAACCAAAAACTGATTCTTTGAAAAGATTTCTAAAATTGATAAACCCCTAGCCAAAAAAAAAGAGCCCTTCTACAAAAAGACTTTCATAGCAGCTTTATTCAAAAAACCCAGAACTGGAAACAACCCAACTGTTCATTAAGAAAAGATAAAACATGCAATAGCACTTAGCAATAAAAAATAAATATCCCCTGATACAGCAAGCACATTGATGAACATCACAATCATTGCACTGAGCAAAAAAGGAAGATGCAAAGGTGTACATACTACATAATTCCATTTACAAAGGGAACTAGAAGAGGCTAAACTAATATAAGGTAAATAAAATCAGAACATCAGTTGCCTCCAGAGAAACAGGGATTGATTTGGGTAAGCACAAAAAGAACATTCCGGAGACACAGAAATAGTGTTGGGGAATGGGTTGGTTACACAAGTGTATACTTTAGTCAAAACTGTACAATTAAGACTTCTGCAATTCAGTACATGTGAAATGTACTTCAAAATGAATCAAAGACTACACATTTAGGATATTAGCCCCTTATCAGAAGCACTGTTTGCAAATATCTTCTTCCATTCAGTTGGTTCCCTCTTACTTCCCTTGCCTTTGAGGTCAAATTCATAAAATCTTCTCTAAACCCAAGGTCTATTAGTTTAGTACCTATGCTTTCTTCTACGCAATTTATTGTTTCAGGTCATATATTTACGTCTTTGATCCATTTTCAGTTAATTTTGGTGTATGGTAACAGACAGCAGTCTAGTTTCATTGTTTTGCACATGGCTTTCCAATTTTCCCATCACCATTTACTGAAGAGGCTTTATTTTCTCCATTGTATGCTTTTGGATCCTTTGTCAAAAATTATCTGCACATATACATGTGGGTTTATTTCTGGGTTCTTAATTCTATTCTATTGGTCTGTGTGTCTGTTTTTCTGTCGATACCATGCTGCTTTGATTATTGTCACTCTGTAGTATAAATTGAAGTCAGGGAGTGTGAAACCTCTGCCTTGTTCTTTTTTCTCAGGGTTGCTTTGCCTATTTGGGGTCTTTTGTGAGTCTATACAAATCTGATGATTTTTCATTCCATTTCTTTAAAAGGTGCCATTGGGGTTTTAATGGGGATTGCATTAAATCTGTATATTGCTTTGAGTAATGTGACCATTTTAACTATGTTCATTCTTCCAATCCATGAACACAGGATATCTTTCCATTTCTTCGTCTTCTTCAATTTCTTTTAATAACATCTTGGGCCGGCCAAGTGGCGCGTTGGTTAAGAGTTAGCTTAAGAGCGCGAGCTCTGAGCAACAGGGCCACCAGTTCGATTCCCACATGGGCCAGTGACACTGCACCCGAGCTGAGCTGCCACTGAGCTGCCAAAGGGTGGCAGGATGGCTCAGCTGGTGAGAGCATGTGCTCCTAACAAGACTGCCTGTTCGATGGTGGGCTACGCCCACCCGCAACTAAGACTAAACTCAGCACCTTTCACTGAGCTGCCGCTCAGATGGCTCAGTGGACAGAGTGCACACTCTTAACAACAAGGCTGCCAAGTTCAACTCCCACATGGGATGGTGGCGGCCGTCCAGAAGCCGGCAACTGATCTGCCTCGCCAGGGAAGAGCGCAATGATGGTGCCAACTTGGGCCAGTGAAGCAACATCCTCCACAACTAGATTGTAGAACAAAACGACAGCAACTTGTCTGTTCCCCTTTCCCCAATTCCCCAGCACTGTTCCCATCCCCCCAATTCCCCAATAAAAAATTTTTAAAAATCTTAAAAAAAAAAAAACTACATACACTTTTCTTACAAAGAATTCACAAAGCTTCCAATGAATTATCATTTTTCCATTTAATAATTTCCCTAGAAGCAGGAATGATAATTAAAAACAAAAAAATTTCTTATGGGTACTGGGGTTTTATTTCAAACCATCAAACTGTAAGAATAAACATCTGTTCTCTTTACTGCTACCATGCATATTATTAATTGCAGCTATTTCATGGTATCATAATAATTTCAAAATGGAAGAACTACTATGACTTTCACTTAACATTTATTTATATAAATTGTAATGCCTATGAATGCATTGCACTAAAACTGCTTATAATAAGTCAACTCTTTTTAAGCCCTGGCAATAATCATGATTTAGGTCCACATGAAAAAAATCATCTCAAGGACTTCTTTTCCCCCTTAAAAATAGTTTCCAACGCAACAAGTGTATGGCATTATCACCTTTGTCCTGCTATAGAAACCCACAAAAATATTATCAGTCTCTTACATATTTTATGTTTTTTCTTATTTCTAGGTTAAAAGATATATCAAAATCATCTGCATTAGAGACATTATTGCACTGCTATTTTTTTTAAGATTTTTTATTGGGGAGTTGGGGAGAAGGAAATAGCGTTGGGGAATCGAGGAGGGGGAACAGACAAGTTGCTGTCTTTATGTTCTTCAGTCTAGTTGTGGAGGACATTGCTTCACTGGCCCATGTTGGTATTATCATTGCGCTTTTCCCGGGTGGGGCAGTCACTCGCCAGCCATTCAGCTGCTCACGGCAGCTCAAGCTGGCTGCCAGCCACTCATGATAGCTCACGGCAGCCCACTGCAATAGGGGCTGCAGCCTACACTGTCGCCAGCGACTCTCAGCAGCCCAGCTCCAGGTTGAGCTGGGTTCACCATCTTAGCTGTAGAGGGTGCAGCATCACTGGCCCTCATGTGGGATCCGAACCGGGATCCTGCTGCTCAGAGCTGGCATTCCAAGCCAACTCTTAATCAATGCACCACTCAGCCAGCCCTGCACTGCTATTTTAATTAATCCTAAAATGATTACATTAAATGAGAAGCCATCCCAACAATATTTTTGTGTTATGCCAATAAAAGGAAAAAGATACAAAATGTGGCTCAAACAAAAATAATTTATTTGGCTTTGATTTCTTAGAGTAGATTTGTCTTCTTAATTAAGTTTTGTTAAGGCCAATAATGAGATTAATTTGCATTCCTTGAGCTGGATGAGAGAGTGACACACTCTGGGAGTAAATAGATAGCAAAGGAAATCTGGCTTAAGGCACACAAAATATGGCCATGAATAATGCCAAAGTAATCCACACCTCTTTCTCAACTGATAATTAACTATTAGTTTAGCACTGCCTCATGCAAAGCAAGTGAAGTACAGCAAAATAATAGGTAGATTTTACATTCCTTAAGGGCTAATAGAAAACTGGGCAAAGGCCAGTATATATAATGCATTGAGAAAAAAGGTGAAAATAAGAAAATTAACTACTGAGCTGAGCTCCAAATAAAATACTGTCCATTATATGCCACCTTAGTACATAAGGAATGATTAAGTTTACATAAATAGTCCAAGGCTTTTATCAGATGTCTTACTAGAAAGTAAATAAACCAATTTACCTGTAATTTGTTTCTATAGTCTTCCCATTTTTTTAGAATAGTTACTGGGTGATAAGGAGGTCTTCTGATAGAATTTTAATATGAGCCATACTTAATCCATAGAGGTAGTCAAAAATGATGTTCACTGACAGGATTGAAAAAAATCGGTATAAAAACAAGTTTTGGAAAGATATTGGCTATAGATTGATTCATAAAAATATCTATCCAGGGCCGCCCGAGTGGCGCGTTGGTTAAGATCTGTCTTGGGACGCCAGAGGGCCCCAGTTCGGATCCCACATATGAGGGCCAGTGACACTGCCCTCTACAGCTAAGATGCTGAACAACAGCTCAACCTGGAGCTGGGTTGCCGTGAGTCGCCGGTGACAGCATAGGCTGCAGCCCCTGCTGCAGTGGGTTGCCATGGGCTACTGTGTGTAGCCAGCAGCCAGTGTGAGCGGCCCTCAAGCCGCAGTGAGTGGCCGTCCAGAAGCCGGCGACTGATCTGCCTCGCCCGGGAAGAACGCAATGATGGTGCCAACTTGGGCCAGTGAAGCAATGTCCTCCACAACTAGACTGAAGAACAACAACAACAACAAAAAACCAGCAACTTGTCTTTTCC